AAAGTTGGTTCTCAAAATCTCACTCCATGCTTTGTCTTCTTTAAGTACTCTATATTAGAAGATGCTGCGCTTTTTTAATTATATTGGTAAACAGGAGCTGTATATTGCAAAAACAAGTCTAGAAATCAGATAAAGTATAAAGTGCAGTGAAATACTAAAGCATTCATAAAAATACTAGTTCATGGTTATCCCTATGTATCTAAATCAACTTGTTCCACTTGTTTTGTTGTTGAAATCTTGTTTATATTTTGGATATTTTTCAAAATATTCATTGACTACGGTGATGTAAGTGGATCAGTAAATCTTCAATTCTTGATTTCTTTCTACCAAAATATGAGTGCAGCATGCTTGTACTCCCTATTCTGAAAAGTTGTCAATCTTTAATTGTAAATTATCTATCAAGAGAAAATTGCCTTCTTTATGATCAAACAGGAATTTCCAAGATCAGTTCATCTTTCTCTAACAATCCAACCTATAGATGCCATTAATGATTATATAACTGTTTAATCTGATGCTATTCTTCTTTTGTGTAAATCTAGGTTGTGACTGAGAAGTATGTGGCAGATGAGTTACCACCAGGTTGGATTAAGGAACTCAAAGTTAGAAAGAGTGCATGTGGAAAGAAGAAAGATCCTGTATGAAATTTCTTGTTTCAACTTGTGTGTGGTTTTATTACACTTCTGCTCTCCAATCTCCACTCTTAAATACAGATTCGTAGTCATAAACTATAGTTTTGTACACATGTGCATGCACATACTCACAGACAATAACATATCAAGCATATGTATGTGGTCTGTGTATACTCATATTACTGCAAGCTTTGCCTCAACCAAATTCAAAATATGTTTATTTTTCTGATTGATGAGCACAATCCTTTAGGAATTTATATGCATATTAGTTAGGAATATTGATTAGTTGTTTCTTTCTACAGTATTACACAGATCCAGCAAGTGGTTATGTGTTTCGCTCCAAGAAGGATGTTTTTCGCTATCTTGAAACTGGGGAGATCAGTAGATGTGCATTTTTACCAAAGAAAAGGAAGATCATTGATCAAAAGTGTACTAATGATGAAACTACGGTCAGTTGGCACTTCTCTTTTTTACGAGCTCTTATGCTATTAGGTACCGTTATGTCCATTTCTGTTTTTCTTGGGTAATTATGGACATGTTTGGTCTAGTGGGTTTCCTCATGAAGTAATGTATGACTTAAGCATCAGCATGTAAAAAAAAAGTATAACTTAGAAGTCATAGTTCACTGTAAAGGCCTTCACAGATCAAGGGCTTCCTTTGTTTGGTACAAATGGAAACAAATGTCTTATATAAGAATGGTTACATAACTATAGTTTGTATGATATTGGTTTGAGCTAATACCTAACTTATTTATGCATGCTTGTAAAGTTTAGAGATTAGGACAAATTTACTAGGGACAAAGTTTCAATTATACTGAGCTTAGATATGGTCACTATTCTGTCAAAGTACCTTATAATGGAGAAAGACAAAGCTGGATGTGGATGCTGTTAGTGAGGAATTCTTTAATGAACAGCTGGTTTTTCTCTAGAGCAAGGTGGTTATATTTTGTGATTTATCAATTAATGTGAAGTTGAAGTTATGTGACTAATGGATGTTGTTGAGTAATTAGTCAACCGATTTTAAATTGAAGTTTTAGATGAAAACTTTAATATCTAAAACTTTAATAAACATAGTTTTATTTGCTTCCTGTTTTAGCCATTGTCAGCAGCTAAAAGGCACTCACTTGAAAATGGGACAGAGAATATCAACAATGCAAAAGCTAATAGTTCAGGCTATTCTAGGAAGAACAAGGAGCTTGATTTGCCTCGGCGATCTTCAAAACGACTTGCTGGGCTTGAACCTGAGCTGGTGGACATTGAAGGAGCTCTTCAAAATGCAACTACAAAGCTTTGCAAAATTAAAGCAAACACCATCAAAGTTTTAGTGGAGGAAGCAGCCCAGCATCTGAAAATTGGCCACAGAATGGTGAGTGCCTATCAAGCTACTGTTGAGTTGATCATTCAATCACATGGAGATCCAGCAAGTAAGAGCAAAGTGCTTCCTTGTGAGAAAGCTGCTCCAGGGCTGGGGGAGAAACCACAAATGATTGAAACTAAGAAGATTCAAGATGATACATCAGCAGTGCAGACTCTCTTTTCCTCAAATCCATGTATGGAAAATGCAACCAAGAAGACTCTTATAAATGCAGTACCAGTTAAGGAAGTTGCTCATAATGGCATTGTTTGTGCTATACCTGCAAATATAATGCGAGAGAAGAATCTTGGTGAAAGTAGTACATCAGCAATACAGCCTCTCTTTTCTTCAGATCCATGTCTGAAAAATGTAACAAAGAAGACTCCTACAGGCAGAGTACCAGTTAAGGAAGCTGCTGATAATGGGATTGTTTGTGCTATACCTGCAAATATACTGCAAGAGAAGAATCTCGGTGAAACTAGTACATCAGCAGTACAGCCTCTCTTTTCTTTGAATCCTTGTCTGAAAAATATAACCGAGAAGAAGAATCTTGGTGAAAGTAGTACATCAGCAGTACAGCCTCACTTTTCTTCAGATCCATGTCTGAAAAATGCAACAAAGAAGATTCCTACAGGTGCAGTACCAGTTAAGGAAGCTGCTGATGATGGGATTGTTTGTGCTATACCTGCAAATATACTGCAAGAGAAGAATCTGAGTGAAACAAGTACATCAGCAGTACAGCATCTCTTTTCTTCGGATCCTTGTCTGAAAAATATAACCAAGAAGAAGAGTATTGGTGAAAGTAGCACATCAGCAGTACAGCCTCTCTTTTCTACAGATCCATGTCTGAAAAATTTAACAAAGAAGACTCCTTCAGGTGCAGTATCAGATAAGGAAGCTGCTGATAATGGGATTGTTTGTGCTATATCTGCAAATATACTGCAAGAGAAGAATCTTGGTGAGACTAGTACATCAGCAGTCCTGCCTCTCTTTTCTTTGGATCCTTGTCTGAAAAATGTCACCAAGAAGACTCTTACAGGTGCAGTACCAGTTAAGGAAGCTGCTGATAATGGGATTGTGTGTGCTATACCTGCAAATATACTGCAAATGAAAAACATTGGCAAAACTAGCATGGGAAGTAGTGCCGGTACAAATACTTCAATAAAGAAGAAGGAAGAGTGCCACTTACCTCACCAATCTTCAAAACGACTTTTTGGGCTTGCGCTTGAGCTGGTGGGGAATTCATTGTCCAGTGAACAAGATCTTGGACTTGCTACTAGAGATTCTTGCAACAAAGAAGCCACTCGAGATGTAGGTTTAGAATCAGAGAATTTGGCAAATGGACCTGAAGCATGTCAACTGGTTGAGACTGGGTCAGTAACAGGGCACAGACAGGAGTGTTCAAATATGACCTCTGTTTCATGGGAGTATTCATCAAACAAGAGCAAAGAGCCTGTTCAAGACCAAACTTTTCCTGCTGACAAATCTCATAAGTTGCTGGTAACTGAGAAAATGTATTCTGAGAAGTCAGAGCTACAGTTCTCATCACCCTTTGCAAATTCTAGAGCAAATTCTTGTTCTGACCCATGCCTAGAATTTGCAATAAAGACTCTTCCTGGTGCAACACCACTAGAGAATGCTGTCAATAATCAGTTTGTTTCTGCTTCAGCTGCTAACATCCAGCAAGAGAGTAATATAGGTGAAACTATCATGCAAAGAGGCAGCAGTGTAAAAACTGCAATAAACTCAAGCAAGCTAAAGAAGATGAAGAAGAATAAAGAACTCAACTTGCCTCGAAGATCCTCAAAACGGCTTGCTGGGCTTACACCTCAGCAGGTTGTGGATTCATTCACCAGTAAAGAAGCTCTTACCACTGCAGCAAGAAATTCTTGCAATAAAGAAGCCATTCAAGTTGCAGGTTTAACTTCAGGAAATTTGGCAAATGGTTCTTGTCAACAGCATTATCCAGGACCAAGAACAGGGCTCAGACATGATTGTACATATACAGCCACTGCATTGCATGAAGAATTGTCAACAAAGAGCGAAGAGCTTCTTCAAGGTCAAAGTCAAACTGCAATTGCAGACCAATGCCATAAGCTGGATGATGAGAATATGCCAAGTGAGAAGTCAGAGCCACAAATCAGATTTCCCTTTGTGGATGCTTGGCATGACCCATGCCTAGTATTTGCAATCAAGACTCTTACAGGTGCAATACCATTAGAGGATGCTGCCATTGATGGGCTTGTTTCTGCTCCAGCTACTAATATCCTGCAAGAGAAGAATCTAGGCGAAGCTGCTCATGGAAGTGCCAGAAGAGTAAAAACTTCGCTAAAATCAAACAAGTCAAAGACAAAAAAGGAGAAAGAGCTCAACTTGCCTCACCGATCTCCAAAACGACTTTCTAGGCTTGCAACCCAGCTGGTGGTGAATTCTTTGTCCACTGAAGAGACCTTTACAGTTATAGGAAGAAATTCTCGTAATGAAGCAGCCATTCGAGATGCAGGTTCAATTTCAGAGAAGTTGGTGGATGGAGCTTGTTGGCAACTTGAGACTGAGCCAATTATGTGGCTTAGAAATGGCTCCAGATACATGCCAGGTGCGTTGCATGAAGAATCATCAAGTAAAAGCAAAGAAAAAGACAATAAGCCTCTTCAAAATCAAACTGTTCCTACAGAGCATTGCCAAAGGCCAGACTCTGAGAATATCTATGATGAGAAGTCAAAGCCACAGTTCTTATTTCCCCTCAGAGATTCTTCGTCTGACCCATGCCTCGAGTTTGCATCCAAGACTCTCAGAGGTGCAGTTGCGGTGGAGGATAATTTTGCTCTACAGGATTACTTCCAACAACAACAACTTTACACATCCAGCACTAAGAGGGATGGTGACTCTGCACTTTCAAATTTTGGTCTGCCCAACTTTTTCCAAGCTGATATTTCATCCCACTTTGATACGCCAGAAAAACCACCTCTCTGGCAGCAACAGGTCACCGTGCATCCTTCAGGCTTACCTCCAGCAAATGCGTGCTTACCTAGTGGAAGTGGCGATTGCTCTCAGCAACCTTGCGTGAGATTAAGGAATTACCCAGCAAAGTGAACTCCACTTTTTCCTCCTGTAAATATGGTGCCTGTTTCTTTTTGCATATAAAGGTAGCTGAGTTCAGGATCTGTTGTTGTAATTTGTAACTACAACTTAGCTACCAAAGATTTTCTCCTAACAAGATGCAGGTGCAAGAAAAACTTAGGTTTTGCTTGCCTTTTGTAATTGATCCTGCCATTTTGATAAAGGATTAAGGATGCCATTTGAGCATCCTGTTTACTATGAAGAATTATTTTATAAATGATAAAGGAAACCTTCATGTTACCATGCAATTAGGCAAGCATTTACTTCTTATAAGAGTGATTGAATCATTTTACAATCGAAAGGCAGAGAGTTAAGCACAAAACATTCAACAAAATGTAGCTCTCAATTGGAACCAAAGAGAAGACACAAAAGTTGTATTTATTTCCATCTCATGGTAGGGTAAAATCAAACTGCTAGAGGGCCTAATAAGCGCCTTCAGACTGCTTCCATCCACCATAGCTTTCCTCTTCTGCAGCAAAACCCCTGGGACAACGTTCCTGTGAAGAAGTAAATACAACTTAGCTCAGAAATAGTGCAATATGTAAGTGGGTCTATGCAAAGATTAAAGTTTCAACTCTAATTAACGAAGGAAGCAGATTAACAAATCAAGGAATACCGAAGGAGTGAAGGTAAGGCTGACTCTGATCTCCCCGCGATATTCCTCGTCCTTAACAACATTATATGATGTTGGTGGAATGTTTCCTTCAGAGAAAACTGGCTCCAGAGGAATGCTGGAAGATGGTAAGAACCAAAAGTTCAATTAAGTTCGGTGTTCATGGTCTGCCTTATAGATTGAAAATAAACAAAAACTCACGTAGCTTCTCCGAGGAAATCATCTGCGGTCCCGGTATCACTGTCAAGTATTTTCAAAATGACCTCAGTAACACCCTCAGTGACACTGAATACAAACGTCTCGTTCCACTCTGGCTCAGACCCTTTTCCTGCAAAGAATCATCCATCTACATAACTTCCACTGAAAAAGAAGAATCACACTTGTTTATCATGACATCGATCTTTTTGTTAAGAGACACACACCTGATGCAACACTGCTTTTCTGTTCCTGGGAACGGCATTTGAGGATCACATAAGCATCCGTGTTAGCTGCTCACATCATTCATGTCAACATTCAAATTCATCACTAGGAAACATTGATCTTATTCTGATCTATAGTCTAGAACAAAAAACGAATCTGCTATGAAAGGCAAATACAAATACAAATACAAAAGTGCAAGCATTCAACGCATAACAAATCCGCAATAGGTAGAATAAACCGTCCACAAGTTTTCATATATATATATATATATATATTTAACTAATGAATGAATCAATATAATGTTATTGGATCTTTCCAGGAGGAATCAACAAAGGAAGAAAGGAGAACCAAATGTACTGAAATTGCGACTTTGAATGCAGAAAGTTGGAAATGAAAGAGAGGACAATAATTATAAAAAAAAAAAAAGGGGGTAGCTTTGAGATTTAATTAGATAAACTCACAGCAAAAATCAGCGTCTTCGAGACCCTTGGCACTGACGAGAAGAATTTCAAGCGTTCCTTCAGGCATGTTTGAAGCAGCGAGAGATGAAGAATCGATGGAAGGGACAGAACCGAAACCGAAGATATTTGGGTTGGATCTCTTTCTTGGTAAATTACAGGCAGCGCTTCATCGGATCATCATCACTCGCTGTTTATTCGTACACGATCGCCTACACGTGTTTTTTTTTTTTTTTTTTTTAATTTTAATTACATAACCGAGAGGTAACTATTTTTTATTTTTTATTTTATTTAAATTTAAAACCTCTTACTTTTAATAAAAAAATTCAAAACCTCTTCCTTCTAACAGAAAAAGATGATTACTAAATTATTCAAATAATTTACACTACACATATTATTAAAAATATAAATTATGACATAATACCTACCATTGATTAATTCGCCACGTACACATGTACTACTAATGTACATACACAATAATATTATATTCCCTCGGTATAAAATAATGGTATTATTGTCACACTCTTAATTATTAATATTATATTTTTTATTTTAATTGATTATTTTACTTTTTAATTTATTAAAAAACAAAAAATATAATGCAAAGGTATAATAGACAATCACATTAAAAAATATGGCATTAATTATTTAGGGTGGGGAAATAAATCCACCCGCATAAATATGTAACTATTTAATTTTGTTTTCTTAAATTAAAGATTTAAAGGTAATATTTTTATTTATTTGTAATACTCTTAATATATATATAAATATAAATAGAGACTTTTGTGATTGAATAATTAAAGTGAATAGATAATAATAGAGTTAAAGTAATGAAAAATTATTTGTTTACTTTAATGAATGAAAAAATGATGATTAATTTAAGAAAAAATTAAAATAAAAGATATCAATTATTTTAAGATAGAGGGGGTAATAATTACAATATATCTAGAATTGTTAATGCTATGTGTGGTATTGTTATGATTTTTTATATATTTAGTCATTATTTATATTTAATTATCTAAATTGTAATTTTTATTAAAAAATTTAATTTCTAAACATGGTAGTTCTTACTAAATATACAAAAAGTGAAAACCAAAAATTGAAAATCTAAATAATACTATACAGAACATAAGTATTGCAATCATAAAGTATTATTAAATGTGTGAATATATACAATATTATAAATTAAATTTTTTAATAAATCATCACCAATAAACTCTTAAATAAAAAGAATCAATTATATGCTAAAATATTATAATTATAAACTTATAATATGAAATGATAATTATATTAATTTCAGTACATTAATAAAAAAAGGTTAATCCCTATTTGGTCCCTCAATTATTGTATGAACTTCTAATTGAGTCTCTCAACTCAAAAATCTTTGATTTGATCCCTATTGTTTTTTATTTTAGCCCCAACTTGATCCTTCCATTAATTTTTCCACATTAATTGACAGAAGAAGCATCACATTTGAAAATTTTCACATGACAGATTGACAGCTTGGCAAAAACAAATAACATGGCAAAAAATTTTACCTACAAAATTCCAACTCATCCCACCCCAAAAAAAATTCCTTTATTTATTTATTTTTTTTTGGTTCCTCTCTTTCCTCTTCTCTTTCTTCAACTTTTGCAAACCCTAACATCTCAACCAAAAATTTCTTCTTATTTCCCCACTCTACCCTTGTTGGATTTAATCTGCTGGGTTTTCAATCTGTTAGGTTCTTTTGAACCTAGTAGCTTTTCTCTTCTTTTCCTCTCAAATTTGAAATCTTGAAACAAACTCTATTTCTTGGTTCTTGTTTGGTGAGAGAGAAAACATGATGGTTGACAAAGCAGATCTGGGTTTAAGTCTTGGCTTGAGTTTCCCTCAGATTCGCCATTCTTTGCAGTTGAATCTTTCATCGTCTTCTCCCCTAGGACTAACCCTTCAGAAACATGCATGGAACGACACCACTCATCGTTTCGGTATGTTCTTTAATCACCTTTTGAATCTGGGTTTTACGCATGTCCCCTTTTTGTACCGATTTTCCCTTTGCTTTCCTAAGAAACAAAGCTTTAAAAAGTTTATTTTTTTTTATTTTTTTGGGTATTAATGGAACACTTTCTTCTCTCACTTGAGGAAGCTTTTAACAATTTTTTTTGGGTTTAATACCCTTTTTGGTCCCTCTACTATAAGAAAAAGTCCTTTTTTGTCCTTGTACCGAAAAAATTCCTTTTTTGGTCCTTACTGTTTACAAATCCTGCCCCTTTTTAGTCCTTCCGTTAAATTTTGACTGATGTGGCAGGTTAATTAACGGAAACACTCATTTTTTTTTTTACTAAATTACGTGGAAAATCCACGTGACAAAAATGGATGACATGTCAAATTTTTTACCTTTAATTACTGATATATCCTCATCTTCTTCCCCGGCTTCTCCTTCCTCCAGCTTTTTTTTTTTTTTTTCCTTTTTTTCTTTTACCTCCAGGCGAACCCAAGAGCCTGGGTTCGTCTTATCGCTCTCACCCTCCTACTTTTCTTGCCAAGGCCAAGCCCTTCCCGCTCGGTTAGAAGGACCCGATGGAGCTGACGACGCTGTTGTCACCGACCGTATGTCCAGGGCTTCCGTGTGAGGTTGTCGACCTCTGTAACGTGATAACCGTCACCGTAATCACGTTGGCGACCTCTGTAACAGCGTCGTCGGCTCCATCCGGTCCTTACTTTTGTCTCCGCCCATAGCCTTTTCGGCACATTACTCTTCCCAAATTCCAGAAGCCTCATAACCGATAGCCCTGCGTTCTCCAGATCACCCGCGTAAGCAGACAACCCCGGACTAACCCTCATGCTCACTAGCCCATCTTCCTTAAAATCAAACACCACTATTCCTCCCTCTACAGTGTATCTAAACACATGAATCCTCGTCCCTATACTCCCACCGTCGATGATAATCCGGTACTTCTCGGTGCCTTTAGTGCTGAATATGAATAGATAACAAAAGAGCAAAATAGCAAACGTCGCTGGA